ACAGAAACAAAACCACCACCATAACTAAGTAAAAATGAAAACCTTTTAAAATAAAATTTTCCGCCTGCACCGTGGCTCACTTGGCTAATCCTCCGCCTGCGGTGCAGGCACACCGGGTTCTAGTCCCAGTTGGGGTGCCAGATTTGGTTCCGGTTGCTTCTCTTCCAGTCCAGCTCTCTGCTGTGGCCTGGGAGTGCAGTGGAGGATGGCCCAAGTACTTGGGCCCTGCACCCCATGGGAGACCAGGAGGAAGCACCTGGCTCCTGGCTTTGGATTGGCACAGTGCACTGGCCGTAGCGGCCATTTGGGGGGTGAACCAATGGAAAAAGGAAGACCTTTCTCTCTGTCTCTCGCTCTCACTGTCTAACTCTGCCTGTCAATAAATAAATAAATACATTTAAAAAACTTTTCCAATAATTCTTGCTTTCCTCTTTCTACCTAAAACAATAAACTGGTTCCTAACTATATTACCTAAAACTAATCTTTTACTGTTACAACAGGAATAAGAGAATTTTTTTTCCTTAGAGTCCCCGACACCAGTTAAATACCAAAAATCACCTATGAAAAAGAATATAAAACCTTCTGTTTGCCTTTAAAATCATGAATGAGAACATTAATCCAAAATACAGTGATAAATGTGCTTTAGTGCAATTGTAGCCCCCATAAGAGATGCAAGATTCCCAGGAAAAATGAGAGCGAGCCCACAGATTAGAAAGACAGACACAAGGAGACCCAGACAGGGGACAACTAGACAAAGGACAAGAGGAAATGCCACCGGCCCTGGAGCTGGGCACGTGAGCCTCCCACAGCTGCAGCCGCGGCGGCTCCGTTTCAATTCCATCAGAGACCTGATGGCAAATTCTCACCTTGTAACTGCACTGAACCGTACACTCGAAAATGGTAAAAGAGGTACCTTTTTGTTATTTACTTATTTATTCATTTTTTTGACAGGCAGAGTGGACAGTGAGAGAGAGAGAGAGAGAGACAGAGAGAAAGGTCTTCCTTTTTGCCGTTGGTTCACCCTCCAATGGCTGCCGCGGCTGGCGCGCTGTGGCCGGCGCACCGCGCTGATCCAAAGCCAGGAGCCAGGTGCTTCTCCTGGTCTCCCATGGGGTGCAGGGCCCAAGTACCTGGGCCATCCTCCACTGCACTCCCGGGCCACAGCAGAGAGCTGGCCTGGAAGAGGAGCAACCGGGACAGAATCCAGCACCCCGACCGGGACTAGAACCCGGTGTGCCGGCGCCACAAGGCAGAGGATTAGCCAAGTGAGCCGCAGCACCGGCCCGTTATTTATTTTAACACACACACACACACCTTTTCTGTTTGGATGGAGGAAGAAAATTAGAAAACCAAGAAGACACCTAGCACACTGAATGCAGACAGCACCATTAGTGAAAGGAAGGGGAAAAAATGACCAAGATCTGTCTTTTTTGTTCAAGACAAAAGCAAAAGGTAGCAGTGGACACTATGCCCACTGGCTGAGATGCTGACTGGGATGTACAACACACCGCAGGGTACCTGGGTTCCCAGGGGGAACACTGGCTCCTGACCCCAGCTTCCTGCTAAAGGAGACCCTGGCAGGCAGTGATGCGCTGAACTAGTTACGTCTCTGCCACTCACCTGGGAGACCTGGATTGAGTTCCCAGCTCCTGGCTTCAGTCTCTGGCCACTGTGGGCCTTTGGGGGAATGCACCAGTGGATGGGAGAGCCCTCCATCTCTCTCAAAGAAATAATAAAGATAATTTTTGAAAGTTTAACTGGAAGGATACAACAGGAAACAGAACTCATGGAACCTCGAAGAGATGGGGGTGAGAAGAGGGTCACCTTCCCCAGGCAGGCGGTGCAAAGAAGGAAGAGGTTGGAAGATAAAGCACCGGATTAACAGGTCTGCTCATCCTCAACTGAAAGCGCAGGAAGAAGGGGGAGAGGGAGGATGGATAAAGGAAGCAGGAAAATCAGACCCCCCCCCCCCGACACACACACCACCTCATGCACACGCAGGAGTCTTGCTGTGAAGCTCTGTGGGGGCCACAGACATCACCTGGGGTGACTTCTTTTTACCCACCTTTATTGAGCACCTACTGTATTCCAGGCTAGGTTCTGGAAATACACTGCTGTTGGCATGACTTTTTTTTTTTTTTTTTTTTTGACAGGCAGAGTGGACAGTGAGAGAGAGAGACAGAGAGAAAGGTCTTCCTTTGCTGTTGGTTCACCCTCCAATGGCCACCGCGGCCGGCGCGCTGCGGCTGGCGCACCGCGCTGATCCGATGGCAGGAGCCAGGAGCCAGGTGCTTTTCCTGGTCTCCCATGGGGTGCAGGGCCCAAGCACCTGGGCCATCCTCCACTGCACTCCCTGGCCACAGCAGAGGGCTGGCCTGAAAGAGAGGCAACCGGGACAGAACCCGGCTCCCCGACCGGGACTAGAACCCGGTGTGCCGGCGCTGCTAGGCAGAGGATTAGTGTTGGCATGACTTTTTTGAAACTGTACATATTGGGGCCAGCATTGTGGCATGGCAGGTGAAGTTGCCACCTGTGATGCCGGCATCACATATGGACTCCAGTTCCAGTCTCGGCTGCTCCACTTTCCTAGGAAAGCAGCAGAGGATGGCCTGAGTGGTTAGGCCCTTGCACTCACGTGGGGAACAACCTTTACCCAAAATGCTTGGAATCAGAAGGGTTTGGGGATTTCCAATTTTTTTCAGTCTTTGGAATATTTTGCATACACACAGTGAGAAATCGTGGGCATGGGACCCAAGTCTAAAGAGGAAGTTCATTTGTTTCATAAATACATTACAAACACACAGCCTGAAGGTAATTTCATACAGTATTTTGAGTTTTGAATGTGACCTGTCAAGTTAAGAGGTCAAGAAACTCCACAACAAAACAAACAGCCCAGTTAAGAGATGGGCGAAGGACTTAAACAGACATTTTCAAGAGGAAATCCAAATGGCCAACAGACACATGAAAAAATATTCAGGATCACTAGCCATCAGGGAAATGCAAATCAAAACCACAAGGAGGTTTCACCTAAACCCAGTTAGAGTAGCTTTCATACAGAAATCAACAAACAACAAATGCTGGTAAGGATATGGGGGAAAATGTACCCTAATCCACTGTTGGTGGGAATCTAAACTGATAAAACCACTATTTAAGACAATATGGAAATACCTCAGAAATTTGAATATAGACCTACCATATGACTCAGCCATCCTATTCCTAGGAATTTACCCAAGGGAAATGAAATCAACAAATAAAAGTGTTATCTGCACCCCCATGTTTATTGCAGCTCAACTCACAATAGCTAAGAAATAGAATCAACCTAAATGCCTGTCAATTGAAGACTGGATAAAAAAATTATGGAATATGTATTCTATGGAATACTACACAGTGTTTTAAAAAATGATATCTGGTCATTTGCAACAAAATGAATGAATCTAGAAAACATCATACTTGGTGAAATAAGCCAGTCCCAAAGGGACAAATATCATATGTTCCCTCTGATCTGTGATAAGTAATAGAGCACCTAAAAGGAAATCTGTAGAAGTGAAACTGACACTTTGAGAAGCAAAGACTTGAACAGTCCTTGTCTTGACTGTTAAGGAACAGTTTTTTTTTTTTTTTTTCTTCTTCATACTATTTGTTGAACTCCTTACTTAACACAGAGTTAATCATATATGTATAAAGTCAATTGAAACTAGATCTCAGTGAAAAATAAGAGTGGGAATAAGAGAGGGAGGAGGAAGCTTGTAACTGTAATTGTATAGTTCCATACACATTCCTACAGACTTGCTTCTAAGAGTACAGTTTAAAAACTTGCCATGGGACCCCAAATCCCATTAAGCTGGGTGGTAAATATGCCATCTTAAGTGTTAAAGCAATAATACAGGTAGGATTAAGTGTTAAAAGGACCATATAAATAAGATCAAGTGCCTGGTAATAATAATAGAATTAAAAAGGAGTGACTGTTCCAACATGGGAAGCAGTCCACACAGCAGATTCATAGAATGACAATCACTTTAAACAGCACTCTGACCTCAGAATCAGCCCTTAAGGCATTCTGGTCTGGCTGAAAAAGCCCATGAGAGCATTTCAGGCATGGAAAGCCAAGACACTGTGGCAAAAAAAATATCCACATGAAGATCTCTGTGGGTGAGATCCCAGTGGAAAGAAGTGGCCATCAAAGAAGGATGTACTTTTTATCTGAAGGGAGGAGAGAACTTCCACTTTGCTTATGCCATTGTCTAAATACTGATGGGGATTGTAGATTCAAAAGGCTTGCATAGCCTAGGCAGCTCATTTCAAGAACCTTGGTTGATCACTGATATCATACATGAAAGAGTGTTAATTGTTAAATTATCAGCAGGAGTCACTGTGTACTTACTTCCCATGCAGGACCTCTGTCCTCAATGAGTTGTATTGAAAGAATTAACTGTAAAACTTGTTCTCAAACAGTTCTTTTGTGTATGTGTGCAAATCGTTGAAATCTTTACTTGGTATAGAGTTGGTCTTTTGTGTATAAAGTTAATTAAAAATGATTCTTAATGGAGAATGGGACTGGGAATGGGAGAGAGAGGAGGAAGTAGGGTGGGAGGGTGGGTATGGTGGGAAGAATAACTATATTTCTAAAGTTGTACTTATGAAATTTGTATTCCTTAAATAAAAGGTTTCTTTGGGGAAAATAAAAATAAATAAACATGCTTCTCAACAGAATTTTGTCTATGTAGCAAACATGACAGATGTGGAATTTATGACATTATCTTAAAGCAACCAAAACCTTTCTTTTATTTTCTAAATAGTTATATTTTTGTGACTCATAAGGCACTATTACACATGTAATAATCATGTTAGGTATATGTCCCTTGTTTTCCTTTTTCAAGAAAAATGTGTCCAGACCAAATGCATATCTTCAGAAATGAAAACCTTTTCCATTTTGCCAAATAATTAAGAACCAACATTCAAACCATGTGAAGACAATGCTCTCAGAATTGTAAATTACTTACGATGTCATAAATTTCTCGGTCATCCTCGTCAGCTAAGGTCAACAGCGCTACAAGTGGATAGCGAGATCTGGGCACTGCACCAAAGTCTTCAATTTTAGTGTCTTTTGGTAACTGGCAATATATTTCTTCTTTGCTGTCCTTTTTAATACTTTTTGAAAATGTAAAGGAAAATTGCCAAGATGGTCAAAATAAAAACAATTTTAAAAAAGGATCAATAACTAAGCAACATTTACTGTAACCATAAAAATCTGATTTTAATGTGCTAACGGGCATAGCAGATAGAAGGATACAAATACTGTTCTTGATACAGATATTCGCTATACAGAGCATCTTCTAAAGCTTGGGGGGTGCTTATTCTGAAGCAGTAAACGTGCTTCTGCAGGGCTTCATATAACTTCTGCACACTGCACCCCCAGTAGCAGGTGAGGTGGCTATCTTCAAGGCAATCTGTTGTCAAGGTTAGGCCAGCTGCAGAAAACAAACCACAAACAGAATGGGAATTACCTAGTATAACTGAGTACAATGACACAGGGTGCATAACACAAGTTTCCTTCTGGAAGCTGGCCAGGCTGCTGGCAATTAATGGAACTTGTTATAAGGTAGATATCTACAAAGGGTGGAACTGGCCTCTACTACAACGAGAGATATAAAAATCTCAGTGTCTACACAACTTTGGGGTGCTACCAGTCAACTTCTCAATACTTATCCATCTAAGTTTAGAAATTATCAATTTAATTTTTCTCTTTTGGCAACTCAAGGCTTTCTCCACTCTAATGGTGTAAATAACTCTAACTACAAGAAATGGTGCAGCAGGGGAGAGCTGTCTCCAAAAGCAGATACCCACAACCCATGGTATCTAGAAGACTTCACTGGAGTAAGAAAAAAGAGTGAAAAGAGTGTGACCTTTACTGATGTTAATATGCAACATGACTACGCACTCTTGTCATACAGCGAATGTGCCCTGTAATTTGCAAAATATGCTGAGGAGTGAGTAGGGATTCCAAAACACAGAGGGTTTAATAGTAATATCCCTGTTCATCTGTTTTTGTTCAACATAAGAAAAGATAATGCAATTCAAAAGGACCCAAGTGGCTATATAAAGTGTAACGGACATACAAACTGTATTATACAACTTTTTCTTCTGTAACACTTACACAGGACTTACTATATGGTTTTCCCCCCTCAACAGTGGCAGTTGTAACAATATCAAGTTCAAGGGTAGTGACATCCAAGGGCTCATACTGCTGGCTGTGCAAGCTGCAACATTCAGCAGTGTACCAGACTTGACCAAAGGGCAGTTTTGATGGCTGTTCTTGGCTGAACAGTCATGGTCCCTTATTCTGGCTCTCCGTTCCTAGTAGCAATTCTTTAAACCACGCAGTAGCTTTTTAATACAGTTGTTTCTGTTGCTTGCTGATAGGAATTCTGATTGCTACATTACCTGTGTTTAAAAATGTGGTCAAGAGCAGGTGTTAAAGAAGATACACAAATACAAGCAGATGCTTGAATTTTAATTGGCAGGAATTTTGCATATAAATGAAGCAGAATTTGATTCTGAACTTCTTGATTCCAATCAGGTATTAATTCAAGAATGGAAAATTCTATTAGCTATTAAATAGGTGAAGAAAACATCCCATTAATATAACTGCACACACACACACACACACAATCATAGATATTTTTCTCAATGTCATTGTAGAACCATTCAATGTGAGGCAAGAGAAAAAAATTGTAAATAGAAGTAGATAGGAGGGGCCAGTGCTGTGGCAAAGTGGGTAAAGCCACCACCTGCAGTGCCGGCATCCCATATGGGCGCCAGTTCAAGTTCCAGCTGCTCTACTTCCAATCCAGCTCTCTGCTATGGCCAGGGAAAGCAGTACAAGATGGCCCAAGTCTTTGGGCCACTGCACCGGCATGGGAAACCCAGAAGAAGCTCCTGGCTCCTGGCTTTGGATTGGCACAGCTCCGGCCATTGTGGGCAACTAAGAGTGAACCAGCAGATGGAAGACTCTCTTTCTCTCCTCCTCTCTCTGTGTAACTCTGACTTTCAAGTAAAATAAATAAATCTTTTTTTAAAAAAAAGTAGTAGATAGGAAAGGGTAAACTAGAAAAAGCTCATGAAAAAAAGTGGAAAAAGAAAACCCCCAAAATAATCTCTCAATATTCTTGTATTACTGGAAGATATATGGAAAGATGTATGAATAAGGCTATTAACTATAGCACTAGTTATCATAGCAAAATGCTGGAATGAACCCAAATGACAAGGAAGAGGAAATGAAATGAGTAATATACAGAACTCAACAAGGATGTACTATGCAGCTATTAAAAAAGCGTGAGCTAAGGTAGGCATCTGGTAAGTAGTTAAGATATCCCCTGGGAGGCATGCATCCTATACTGGAGTACCTGGATCTGAGTCCAGTCTCTGCTTCTGATTCTAGCTCCCTGCTCACACACACTCTGGAAAGCAATAGATGACGCTTCAAGTAGCAGGTTCCTGCCACCCATGTGGCAGACCAGGATAGAGTTTCTGGCTCCTTGCTTTGGCCTGATATAGTTCTAGCTATTGTGGGTACCTGGGGGAATGAACTAGCAGATGGAAGATTTCTCTCGCTCTCTCTCTCTCTCTCTCCATCTCTCCCTTTCCTTCTCAAATTAATTAAAATCCATAAACAGGGGCCGGCGCTGTGACACAGTAGGTTAAGCCTCCACCTGCAGTGTCAGCATCTAATATGGAGGCCAGTTCATGTCCCGGCTGCTCCTCTTCTGCTCTCTGTTATGGCCTGGGAAAACAGCAGAGGACAGCCCAAGTGCTTGGGCCCCTGCATCCACATAGGAGACTTGGGAGAAACTCCTTGCTCCTGGCTTCAGATCAGTCCGGCTCCAGCTGTTGTGGCCATTTGGGGAGTGAACCAGCAGATGGAAGATCTCTCTCTCACTCTCGCTCTCGCTCTCTCTCTGCCTCTCTGTTAACTCTACCTTTCAAATACATAAATCTTTTTTTTTTTAAAAAAAAGATCCCAACTTGCAGAACACATAAAACTACTGAATTAATTTGCTAAGTGAAAAGAATCAGAGTTCCAGAGGCTCAGCACTGTGTTTACAGACTTCGCATGCTTGACTAAAAAGGGGAGAGCATCAGAGACCACTATCCCTGGACATTAACAAAATGTTAATATGTCTCTGAAATTATTAGAAATTAATGAAAAAGAACCACTGAATCTACGAAATTCTACTTTCACAAATTCTCCCATTACCTAAAGCAAGAAGAGAATGTACTGACTGACCCTACCTGAAGTTGCTTCAGATAGTCCCATGCAAAACTACTCTTTTTAGTTTTCCTCCAGTCTCCTGCAATGAAAGTTCTCATTTTCATATTTTCTTAGTCTTTAAAAAGTCAGTGCTCACACCAAACCATCTTTCTTCAATAGCAGTAGCAGAACTGAAACAGTTGTAAACCAGGATGTTTGGAATCAAAATTAAGGGAAGCAGCCTGAGTTGATTTCGCTCAACCTGTCCTTGCCCTGCTGTAAGGGCAAAGAAAGCAAAGGTAACAGACACCGTGCAAAGGTAAGCACTACGCGTCAAATGTGTTGCGCCATTTAAAAAGAGAGAGAAACAACGCAGCAAAAAAGCCACAAACCTTCTAGAGGAAGAATCCAGAGAGGAAGTGACATACAAGGAGCCCAAGAATGAAGACCATCAAGCCCGAGTACTGGGAGATGGAAATCCAGGTTGTACACTGGGAAGGCGATTCACAAACTACTCCAAAATCCCAGTGTGTTTTTCTACGTGGCCCTCTTGCTTTATGTTAGCTCTTACCATGGTGATCGAGCTAAAATACAGGGAACTGTTTACAAAAGGACAATAGAATTCCTGAACCAAATTAATTCAACACATCTAATGTGTATAACTGAGGACCTGCTTTCGGCATCACTAACGCCTCTATAATGGGAACACAGAAACACAAATCTAAATACAATATCATTTCACAATGACCATAAATGCCAACAACCCAGCCCTAGCAAACTTAACTAAATGACTAAGAGCGAAACAGATTCTCTGATTCACTGTCAAATCAAATCAGGTTTTCAGATGCTCTTTCTTATTCCTCTATTTTGTGTCAGACACTTTGAATACAATGGTGGAAAAATTCTGGATTTTTAATCTACCTGCATATAAAATAAATAATTGTTTAAATGTCTCAACTATTGTCACAATATTATCTCACTGTTCTACATGGACATCTTTAAAAAATTATTTATTTGAAAGACAAGAGTGATAGAGAGAGAGGGAAAGACACAGAGAGAGAACTTCTATCTACAGGTTCACTGCCCCAGTGGCCGCAGTGGCTGGGGCTGGGCCAGACAGAAACCAGCAGCCAAGAGCTTCTTCGAGATCTCCCACATGGGTGCAGGGGCCCAAGCACAAACTACTTATTGCATCTCTCACTGCTTTCCCAGGAGCATTAGAAGTCAGCTAGATACGAAGCAGAACAGCCAGGTCTCTAACTGGAGCCCGTATGGGAAAATACACACACACACACACACCCACACACACACACACACATATATACACACACATATATATATGAACAAGAGTAAAGGGAACAGGTGTCAGCCTAAAATCTTTAAAGGACTACAAAACTGGACCTAGAACTGCCTCCTGTTACCTCTGCTGAACTGTCAAAAAAGCACTTCAATGTCCCAAAGTGCAAAACTCAATTCATTTCCTCTCTTCCAAAACCTGCTGCTCTTCCTGGTCTCCTTATCTCAGCAATGGGATCTGCCTGTGGAGGAGCCGAGTAAAGCAGCTCAGGTCTTCCGAGACACCTCTCCCTCACCTGTCCTACCCTGTGTTTAATCTGCACCAGCTACTATTGCTTCTCCAGTGTGCTTACTACCTGTCTCTCACCCATCACAGGACTTGGTTCACATCACTCTTCTGCCTAGAATTTTCCACAAACCAAGAAGTAAACACCTACTTATCTCTCAAGATGCTCTATTCAAAAATAATTAATTAATTTACAAAAGGGGCTGTCACGGCAGGTTAAGGTGTTGTGACTCTTGCACCAGATACCAGCCGGCTGGAATCCTGGCTGCTCCATTTCCAACCCAGTTTCCGGCTAACACATTCCATGGGGGAGACCAAGATAGAGTTCCTGGCTCCTGGCTTTGGCCTGACCCAGACCAGCTATTTGGGGAATAACCAACATATGGAAGAGTGTTCTGTCACTGTGCCTTTCAAGTAAATAAGTCTTTTTAAAATATAAAAAGTAGGAGCAAGTGCTGTGGTGCAGCGAGTGAAAGCCCTGGCCTGAAGCGCTGGCATCCCATATGGGTGCCGATTCAACACCCGGCTGCTCCTCTTCCAATCCAGCTCTCTGCTATGGCCTGGGAAAGCAGCAGAAGATGGCCCAAGTCCTTGGGCCCCTGCACCCACGTGGGAGACCCGGAGGAAGCTCCTGGCTTCGGATAGGCGCAGCTCCGGCTATTGCGGCCATCTGGGGAGTGAACCAGCGGGAAGACCTCTCCTCTCTCTTTGCCTCTCCTTCTCTGTGTAACTCTGTCTTTCAAATAAATAAAATAAATCTTAAAAAAAAAAAAAGAGTAAAAAATAAGGAAGAAATAAGAAAAAGAAAAATAAGAAAGACTTAGCATATGCTTCTCAATGATGCTTTTCCAGAACGTCTCAGCACCTTAGTAATGTAACCATTTCTTTCTTTATAATTCACTCTGGCGGCTCCCAGATGGCCCTGCATACAATTTATTCTTCCAAGTAAACAACTAAGTACAGAGATAAACACCTGCCAGCTACGATTACCATCTACAAAAGATACCATTCTATAGCAAAACAATCTATAGCAAAATACCATGATTTCAGAGTAAGAGACAGCTGTTCTTCAGAGATTTTCCACCACCTGCATTTAGTCCTAGCACCTCATTTCTCACTGTACTGGAGACCAAGGAAAATGGCAGTGTCCAAAGAGACTTCTCTCATCAACTCCTGGAATATTTTGTTTTTCTCCTTTGTGTACATAACTGTCTATTTACTAGCTGATAAATTCCTTGGGAGCAAAGTTTTGTGAATCGTTAATCTTTGTATCTATAATATGCAGTCCAGTACCTGGAATAAAATACAGGCCAATAAATGTTAGTTAAAAGACCTACTGAAGAAGAAGCCATAAAGAAAATAAAGGCAAAAAGAAGGCCTATAGTGAGAAAAAAGCTTTGGGAAACAATCACCAACTTGTAATTGAAGCTGAAGATGGATTAGTGATCTCCAAGCCAAAAGGATTCTTGACTTGTCTCATTTGCTTTTTGAAAACTCTTGTGCTGAACTGGGTCTCTTCTGAGTTTCTCAGAATTACTGGCACATCCCAGCCAAACCTGGAGAAAGGCAAAAACAAAATAAAACATTAATTTTTAACAAATGTTGAAGCTTCACTCCATATGTATTCATTAGATATTCCTTACCATAAATGTCAGAAAAAAAATGGTCAAGTAACTCAATTTACATTCTTTTGCAGGATTCGTCTAGAATTAAGGGAGCAGTTCCATGAAATTGCAAGACCATTGGTCAGCTGGCTGAACTGAACATGCTCTTGAAAACAAAGAGTTTGTGAATTCTGCTGATAGCAACAAGGGAGTATAGTGACTAAAGATAAATATACTCAATATAACAGCAAAATCATAATAGAATTATTGAACTTTTTTAAAGATTTATTTATTTACTTGAGAGACAGAGTTACAGAGAGAGAGGAGAGACAGAGAGAGGGGTCTTCCATCTGCTGGTTCACTCCCCAGATGACCATAGTGACTGGGACTGGGCGATCCGAAGGCAGGAACCAGGAGCTTTTTCCAGGTCTCCCACACAGGTGCAGGGGCCCAACCACTTGGGCCATCTTGTACTGCTTTCCTAGGTTATCCGTAGGGAGCTGAATCAGAAGTAGAGCTGCGAGACTTGAACTAACACCCATACGGGATGCCAGCACTGCAGGCAGATTAACCTACTACACCGCAGCACTGGCCCCAATTTTATTGAATTTTTTGAAAGGTACACGTAACAAATATATATCCCATAGACATACTACTTAAAATGATCTTTGGGACAAGAGAATTTTTAGGATGCCAAATATAACCATACATTTATATATTTTCTACTTTAAAATTTCATGTAAGATAACCCTGACAATGCACACTGAACAGACCTCAAAGGGAAAATAAAAGGGACTAAACTTGATTCTTAGTAAAATTAAAAACTAGCTAAGTTTACTTAATTTAAATAAAATAACTTAAAATGAATGCACACAGGTTAAAGTAGGAGACTTCAGTTAAATATGGGACACTCGGAGCCGGCGCCGTGGCTCACTTGGTTAATCCTCCGCCTGCGGCACCAGCATCCCATATGGGCACCAGGTTCTAGTCCCGGTTGCCCCTCTTTCTGTCCAGCTCTCTGCTGTGGCCCGGGAAGGCAGTGGAGGATGGCCCAAGTGCTTGGGCCCTGCACCTGCATGGGAGACCAGGAGGAAGCACCTGGCTCCTGGCTTCGGATTGGCGCAGCACCGGCTGTGGCAGCCATTTGGGGGTGGGGGGTGAACCACGGAAGGAAGACCTTTCTGTGTTTCTCTTTCTCACTAACTCTATCTGTCAAATAAATAAATAAATAAGGAACACTTAGGTTCATATTTGATATGTTTACTTTTTCCAAACACAACAAAATGATCAATAAAAATATAAAAAGAGAAGTAAAAAAGACACTGCTGAAATGAGTCAACAAACTGGCTAGTTTGTATATAAACAAAGGCACAGTAGCACACAGCACTGGAAAGGAGACACTTACTGCAGCAACCACATGGATAATCTCAAAACACGCCGTGCAGCCCTTGTATAACAGAGTACGTGCTGTATGATTCTCTTATAAGGAATTTGAGACAGGCAGAACTAATCTTTTTTTTAACCTTTTATTTAGGAAATATAATTTTCCAAAGTACAGTTTATGGATTACAATGGCTTTTTCCCTCCCATAACTTCCCCTCCCACCCGCACCCCTCCCATTGCTCACTCCCTCTCCCATTCCATTCACATCAAGATTCATTTTCAATTATCTTTATATACAGAAGATCGATTCAGTGTATATTAAATAAAGATTTCATCAGTTTGCACCCACACAGAACATAAAGTGTAAAATACTGTTTGAGTACAAGTTATAGCATTACTTCACATTGGACAACACATTAAGGACAGAGATCCCATATAAGGAGTAAGTACACAGTGACTCCTGTTGTTGACTTAACAATTTGACACTTTTGTTTATGGCGTCAGAAATCTCCCTAAGCTCTAGTCATGAGTTTCCAAGGCTATGGAAGCCTCTTGAGTTCGCTGACTTCGATCATATTTAGACAAGGTCATAGTCAAAGTGGAAGTTCTCTCCTCCTTTCAGAGAAAGGTACCTCCTTCTTTGATGGCCCGTTCTTTCTACTGGGATCTCACTCACAGAGACCTTTCATTTAGGTGTTTTGTTTTGTTTTGTTTTGTTTTGCTTTTTTTTGCCAGAGTAGGCAAAACTAATCTTTAAAAAAAAAAAAAAAAAAACACAACACCACAGCAAGACAGAACAATGGTTGCTTCCGGAAGTGCAGGAGTAGGCGTTGAGGGCACGGGTGGTACAAGTTTACTTCCACATGGATGGTAATGTTCTACATCTTGATAAAGGCTTGAGCTTTATAGGTGAAGTGCTTCAAAAGCACAGGCAAATGGTACCTTCACAGTCTGCACATTGCAGTGTATGTAGATACTACCTCAAAAGCAGACACTGGACTCTGGCTAACAGTATGTAATGCTTTAGTGCTTATGGATGAAGAGCTCAGCCTACTTGGAAGCCCAGCCTGGAGTAAGATGGACTGACGAGCACACACAAGGATGGGTGTATGGACAGACACGTGGTAAAGAAGTCACAGCAAAATGCTGATGGCAAAATGCAAGTGATGGGCAAACGTGAGGTCACTGTGCACTTCTCTCCAGGATTCTCTGATTAAAATCTTCTATAATAAAACCTTGGAAAAAGAGAAGACCTAGCTGGATTTAAGGACAAATACCTTTATGGGACTAAAATAGGGAAAGAACAGAGTAATAAATAAGGCTCATGATATGGTTCACTGGGTTCTGAGTCTGGTGGAAGGCAATAGCCACTAAGTCTTTGTTTAGTAAGGAGACTGACACGGGTTGTCCACTCAAGACAAGGGCCATGGCCTGGTTTTCCACTTGAAACCAGAAGCTGGGATAGGCCAGTATCCACATGGGACAGAAATGTCACTCTTCTGTGGTCCTGGACGGGGAGTCTAGGAATCTGGGTGTTGAGGATCCCCAAAATGGCTCAACTGTGAGGGTGAGGACAAAAGGGAAAAAGAACACAACAAAACAGAAAAACCTTCCACGAAAATTTAAGGTTGCAAACTAAAATTTGAAAACATACAAACAAATCTGATGTGGGAAGATAGCCAATAAAAGTAAAAAATGTAACAAAAATTTCACTCTAGAACAGTTGGATAAGACCATTCTGATACTGCCTAGCAAACACTCTCGCAGATCAGAATGTTTCCCAGTAACTTAACTGTGACTGAGAACCAAAGCTTGAGATATTTATAGAAAATGAAAATAGCCAGCATCCAATAACGTAAAATTTACAGTGTTTAGAATCCAATTAAAAAATTGACAGGCATGCAATAAACCTAAGAAGACACAGTGCCCACAATGAAGAGAAATTACTCTGTATAAAGCCAAAAAATTATACTTGTCCTAGAATTAGTAGAGAAAGACATCAAAACACTTGCTATATTTCATGTTTAAAAAAGTAAGTAGGGGCCAACACTGTGGCATAGTAGGCTAAGCCTCTGCCTGTGGCCGCCAGCATCCCATATGAATGCTGGTTCATGTCTCAGCTGCTCCTCTTCCTATCCAGCTCTCAGCTATGGCCTGGGAAAGCAGTGGAAGATGGCCCCAGTCCATGGGCCCCTGCACCCGTGTGGGAAACAGGAAAGAAGTCTTTGGTTCCTGGCTTTGGATTAGCCCAGCTCCAGCCATTGTGGCCATTTGGGGAGTGAATCAGCAGAAGGAAGACCTTTCGCTTTTGTCTCTCCCTCTCTGTATATAACTCTACCTCTTAAATAAATAAATAAATAAAATCTTAAAAATGTAAGTAAAGATTTAGCATATGACAGACATGGAAGATAAAAATAAGGCGAAGATCCATTTCTAGAAATGAAAAACACACAGGATAGGAATAATTGCAGATTAGACACTACAGGACAAAAGATTAGTAAACTTGAAGACAACACAATAGAAAGTATCCAAAATGAAACATAAAAATGGAAAAAGAAGGAAAAACAAAAATCAGAAAACATCAGTGGCCCAAAGCACAGCTTCAAGCAGTTGACATACTCAAAACTAAAGTCTGCAGAGTGGCAGAGGACAGATAAAGAACTGGAACACATAATAATCAACCATTTCCCAAATCTGTTGAAAATGAGAAATTCACAGACCAAGAATCTCAATGAACCCCATGCACAAGAAGCAAATAAAATTACACTAAGGCACAAATAACAACTGATTAAACCTAAGTAATGCAGAGAAAAATCTTAGAAGTAGCCAGTGAGAAAAGATACGCTACATACAGAAAAAGACAAAGATGACAGTACTGGGGACAGCGCTGAGGCGCCGGCATCCCATGTGGGTGCCAGTTCTGGTGTTCTGGTCCTGGCTGCTCCTCTTCCAATCCAGCTCTCTGCTATGGCCTGAAAAAGCAGTAGAAGATGGCCCAAGTCCTTGGGCTCCTGCACCCACAAGGAAGACCCAGAGGAAGCTCCTGGCTCCTGGCTTCGGTTTGGCACAGCTCCAGCCATTGTGACCATCTGGGGAGTGAACCAGCGGATGGAGGACCTCTCTCTCTCTCTTCTCTCTCTCTCTCTCCTCTCTGTGTAACTCTGACTTTCAAATAAATAAATAAATCTTTAAAAAAAAGATGACAGTATTTATTATCAGAAGTAATGAAAGTCAGCACATCTTCAAAGAGCAAAAAGGAAAAATAACATCCAATCCGTATTTTGCAAAAAGCAGTCTTCTGAAAGGAATGAAAATGATACTAAATGGAAATCTGGGTTGATAAAAAGAAATGAATAGCACTGAAATGGTAACTCTGTAGGGAAATAAGTTTTCCTTATTTAAATCTCTTTATTACTTGAGAGGTATACTACAAGATCCTAGAGCAATGACTAAAAAATATTATTGCTAATAAACCAACAAAGCCACTAAAATGAAATCACGGGGCCGACACTCTGGCATAGCAGGTAAAGCCGCCTGCTGCAGTACCAGCATCCCATGTGGGCGCGGGT